GAACAGAAGAGTGATTCAAAGATGTAAAAGTGACAGACACAAAGGTAGGAAAAGGTGAAGTGAGTACTGTGGAAGTGGTCGAATATGACATACAGTGGGGTGTTCTGGTAGTTTGAAGTGAGAAGTCAACTGCCGATTAATGGACTTTTTTGTGAAGTGAGAAGTCAACTGCCAGTTAATAGACCTTTTTGCGTTGAAGTCAGAAGTCAACTGCCGGTTAATAGAATTTTTTTGCCGATAGTTTGAAGTCAACTGCCGGTTTATAGACTTCGAATATGACATAGAGAAGTCAACTGCCAGTTAATAGATCATGGTAATTGAAGTCAGAAGTCAACTGCCGATTAATAGACTTGGGGTCATGATAGTTTGAACTCAGAAGTCAACTGCCAGTTAATAGACTTACTCATGGTAGTTTGAAGTCAACTGCCAGGTAATAGACTTTAGTTTGAAGTGAGAAGTCAACTGCCGATTGATAGACTTTTATTTGAAGTCAGAAGTCAACTGCCAGTTAATAGACCTTTTCAGTCAGAAGTCAACTGCCGGTTTATAGACTTTTTTGCCGTTTGAGTAGTCAGAAGTCAACTGCCGGTTAATAGACTTTTTTGTGAAGTGAGAAGTCAACTGCCAGTTAATAGACCTTTTTGCGTTGAAGTCAGAAGTCAACTGCCGGTTAATAGAATTTTTTTGCCGATAGTGAGAAGTCAACTGCCGGTTTATAGACTTTTTTGCCGCTTTGAAGTCAGAAGTCAACTGCCGAATAATAGACTTTTTTAGGGTAGTTTGAAGTGAGAAGTCAACTGCCAGTTAATATAACGAATATGACATAGAGAAGTCAACTGCCAGTTAATAGATCTGGTCATGGTAGTTTGAAGTCAGAAGTCAACTGCCGGTTTGTGTGAGTACTGTGAAAATGATCGAATATGACATGGAGTCAGCGAGTACTGTGGAAGTAGTCGAATATGACATACAGTGGGGCGAGTGCTGTTGAAGGGGTTGAATATGACAAGCAGTCGGGCTGATTGGTAGTTTGAAGTGAGAAGTCAACTGCCGGTTGATAGACGTAGTTTGAAGTCAGAAGTCAACTGCCGGTTGATAGACTTGATGGTAATTGAAGTCAGAAGTCAACTGCCGATTAATAGACTTGTACCGTTAAAGTAAGATGAGTACTTTGAAAGGGGTCGAATATGACATACAGTGTGGGTGATGGATACTGTAAAAGTGGTAGAATACGGCATTCAGTGGGGTTAGTACTGTGGTAGGGGTCGAATATGACATACAGTGGGGTGGTGGCGTACTGTGGAAGGGGTCGAATATGACATACAGTGGGGTGAGCTACTGTGGAAATAGTCAGAAGTCAACTGCCGATTAATAGACTTTTTGATTTTCAGTCAGAAGTCAACTGCCGGTTTATAGACTTTTTTGCCGTTTGAGTAGTCAGAAGTCAACTGCCGGTTAATAGACTTTTTTGTGAAGTGAGAAGTCAACTGCCAGTTAATAGACCTTTTTGCGTTGAAGTCAGAAGTCAACTGCCGGTTAATAGAATTTTTTTGCCGATAGTTTGAAGTCAACTGCCGGTTTATAGACTTCGAATATGACATAGAGAAGTCAACTGCCAGTTAATAGATCTTAGTTTGAAGTGAGAAGTCAACTGCCAGTTAATAGACTTGGGGTCATGATAGTTTGAACTCAGAAGTCAACTGCCAGTTAATAGACTTACTCATGGTAGTTTGAAGTCAACTGCCAGGTAATAGACTTTAGTTTGAAGTGAGAAGTCAACTGCCGATTGATAGACTTTTATTTGAAGTCAGAAGTCAACTGCCAGTTAATAGACCTTTTCAGTCAGAAGTCAACTGCCGGTTTATAGACTTTTTTGCCGTTTGAGTAGTCAGAAGTCAACTGCCGGTTAATAGACTTTTTTGTGAAGTGAGAAGTCAACTGCCAGTTAATAGACCTTTTTGCGTTGAAGTCAGAAGTCAACTGCCGGTTAATAGAATTTTTTTGCCGATAGTGAGAAGTCAACTGCCGGTTTATAGACTTTTTTGCCGCACAGTGGAAGTGGTCGAATATGCCATACAGTGGGGTCATGATAGTTTGAACTCAGAAGTCAACTGCCAGTTAATAGACTTACTCATGGTAGTTTGAAGTCAACTGCCAGGTAATAGACTTTAGTTTGAAGTGAGAAGTCAACTGCCGATTGATAGACTTTTATTTGAAGTCAGAAGTCAACTGCCAGTTAATAGACCTTTTCAGTCAGAAGTCAACTGCCGGTTTATAGACTTTTTTGCCGTTTGAGTAGTCAGAAGTCAACTGCCGGTTAATAGACTTTTTTGTGAAGTGAGAAGTCAACTGCCAGTTAATAGACCTTTTTGCGTTGAAGTCAGAAGTCAACTGCCGGTTAATAGAATTTTTTTGCCGATAGTTTGAAGTCAACTGCCGGTTTATAGACTTCGAATATGACATAGAGAAGTCAACTGCCAGTTAATAGATCATGGTAATTGAAGTCAGAAGTCAACTGCCGATTAATAGACTTGTCATGGTAGTTTGAAGTCAACTGCCAGGTAATAGACTTTAGTTTGAAGTGAGAAGTCAACTGCCGATTGATAGACTTTTATTTGAAGTCAGAAGTCAACTGCCAGTTAATAGACCTTTTCAGTCAGAAGTCAACTGCCGGTTTATAGACTTTTTTGCCGTTTGAGTAGTCAGAAGTCAACTGCCGGTTAATAGACTTTTTTGTGAAGTGAGAAGTCAACTGCCAGTTAATAGACCTTTTTGCGTTGAAGTCAGAAGTCAACTGCCGGTTAATAGAATTTTTTTGCCGATAGTGAGAAGTCAACTGCCGGTTTATAGACTTTTTTGCCGCTTTGAAGTCAGAAGTCAACTGCCGAATAATAGACTTTTTTATTGAGTCAGAAGTCAACTGCCAGTTAATAGACTTTTTTTGCCGTATGGCCGTATGATTATACGTTGCCCAGGGTGCACCACGTGGAGGTAAGTCTATTGAAAAACGAATGCCGAGTGATAGAATTTTTGCCGTAAGAAAGTACGTTGCCCAGGGTGCACCACGTGGAGGTAAGTCTATCGTAGTTAACTGCCAGTTAATAGACTTTTTGCCGTATGAATATAACGAAAGCCGAGTGATAGACTTTTTTGCCGTAAGAAAATACGCTGCCCAGGGTGCACCACGTGGAGGTAAGTCTATCGCACACAAACTTCCGGTTAATAGACTTTTTACCGTATGAGTATACGTTTCCCAGGGTGCACCACGTGGAGGTAAGTCTATCGCACACCCACCAGGGTGCACCACGTGGAGGTAAGTCTATCGCACACCCCTTGTCAAGGTGCACCACGTGGAGGTAAGTCTATCGCACACCCCAGTTGTGACGTAATTGGAGGAGTGCGACTTAAGGACACCTTGATTAGGGTAAAGTCGGATGAAACTAAAGATTTCTCATAAAAGTGCAGCGAGACTGATGCCAGTGATAACCAAGAAACTTTCTTTTGGAAGTGTTGCAAGAATTCTTACCCTATATTGCTACCTTTTGTAAAGATTTTTATTTTTTAGTTGCGCTGCCATGACTTGTCTGCTCACAGAATATTGCTAAACTGTTGATAATTCGGACAGGAGTTATACAGAACTCATTGTTTCAAGGCAATTTAATGACTAGGTGATGGAAGAATTCCACATATTGTTAGCGCTTGGTGATTAAAATTTTAAACAATCTGGCGTGTAATAGCTGTCAATTAGTATGCAGTGATACGCGCCAACTTATTGGTAACGATAATGAGCAGCTCATAAAGAGAAGAGGATGTTTTGGCCTGAAGGCGAAGCGATAACTCCCCCATATTTGAGCTTGGTTTCTTCGATGCCATATAGCCTAGCAAAAAGACGTCGCGGCAACACTCCTCCCCTATCTCTTCGTTTTTTGAAGGTCCCCATGTTTTTTCTTTAGCTTTAAAATTTTCTTCTTGACTTATTGCACAGGAGCTAACTAGCTCCATTACTATGACAAAATTAATTCATTTAATGTATTGTCATTTATGTCAAATGGCAGGCGTTTTGATAGTTATCATTAGCCCTTTAGTTGACTTCAGGCTTCACAGAGGGGAGGGAACATCAAAGTGAAAAAAGTCGAGAGTGGGGGGGGGGGGAGGAACAGAAGAGTGTTTCAGAGATGTAGAAGAGACAGGCACAAAGTTGGAAAAAAAGTGAGGTGAGTACGGTTGAAGTAGTCGAATTTGACATACAGTGGGGTGATGGTAATTTGAAGTGAGAAGTCAACTGCTGATTAATAGACTTTATTGCCGTATGAGTATACGTTGCCCAGGGTGCACCACGTGGAGGTAAGTCTATCCCACACCCCGATGTATTATCATTGCAAGACCTCTGCAGATATGCCAATATTAGCAAAACACGTCGAATTATAATTAGCGGAAAGATATATTAAATGCTAGCAATGAAATATCATAAAATAGTTTTTGTTATTCCATCTAGGAATAAGAGATCGTTGTCCGTGTCACCGCCTTTCAAAGGCGCGAAGCCAGAAAGACTTGGTGATGTCATAGAGACCGAGGAATATCGATCCACCTATGGCCAGCATGCTCACTCTGGGTACCAAACCAGCGAAGAGGCTAAAATTAAGAAAGGGTTTGTATAACATTGTAACACATTGTAGCAATATGCGCCTAAACACATTGCACTAATCTGGATGACTAGTGTCACATTTGTCATCCAATTTCTAACAACTTTTCACAGTACCCGATATGAATTCACTCCAAATAATTTTACAATTATAAACACCACAGATACCTTTATGAAAATTTCCAAACACTCACCTTGAATAAAAAGGGGCATTTACCAGCTAACCAACAAACGACACGTCAGGAAATCAAGACTTTGTCAATTGCCGAGGTTCTTTATCTCGAATATTTGTTGTACTTTTCATGTGGCAAAGTAAAAATACATAATCTCTCATAAAACTTACTTAGTAATTTACCCCCCACCACCCTATATAAAAGCTAAGGGTTGGCGTCACACAGCTGCCCTGGTGAGAAGCTCCAACCGAGAGCTTTCTAACATTGGAAACGCACTTTTCAGGAAACTCACATCACATACCTATAGTATAGTATGGGCACTAATAAGAAGAAATCACACAATTTTTGAGTTCAACTTGGGTCCAGTCCCAGTGCAGAAGACGTTTCTGCAAGTTTTCTCCCTTGTAGACAAAGTGCTCAACGTTGTTCATATGAGCACCAAATTGCATTCTATTGTTAAGCACAAAAACGCCCAACCCCAAAGCAAACAGAGGTTGCGAGGGGCGTTGCATACTACTTTCTATTCGTCATGCCCCGAACGCCAACGAGGCTGCTGAAGTCATTGCTGACATTCATGATCAAGTTCTCACAGCCCACTGATGTCCACTCTGGCTTAAACGATTGAACCTGGGCATTCGCAATTCAAATGAAGAAGTACCAACTTCAACACGACCTGAGCATTTTGATGGAGATGCATCAAAATGCATTGCTAAATCTGATTCGGCGTTAACTATGGAAGAATTATCGTCTTAGTTTGCCTACTCATGGTCAAGCGGCAATAACAATTGAAATAAATTAATGAATTTGGATGCTGAAGCATTCATTCTCCCAGTCTAGCACAGAAGAGTGCAAAAACCAGCGTATTCCTTCGCAGTTAAGAAAAAGAATTCGTTCCTTTACGCCAATTTGTTATCGGCAACACGAACTGGGTATTTTGCAACGTTAGTGGAATAAATAATGGATATCTCCTAGTCAAGCATCCACTCCATGCCTTATGCCAGGGTTGACCTTTCAGATGGGATGTGTGTGGAATGACCCATAATGAGTTACTACAATTTGGCGACACAGTAATAGCCGATGTGTGTTGTCAACAATTAGAAAGAGCAGGCCAAAACTGAACAGTCGAACTTTTAAGTTAATTTAACAGAATAAAGTGGATAAATCCTCAATCTGGCAATGTCTGGCCCCAAACCCCACCCCATGCGAAGCAAGAATGACCTGCCTACCAGACCTCTCTCTCCTTCCAATTATCACCTTTTCAAGTCCATGGAGCGAGTGAAGTGGAGAGAGCCACTTGAATGAGTATTTTAATCAGAAAGTTGGTTGCAAAAAGGGTGGGGTGGGGGGAGGGGGTAGAGAGAGAGAGAAAGAGTAAATAAGGAGAAGCATACCCCCGGATACCAGACTCGGCGTAGACTAGTCGCATCACAGTGAACACGTTGCTTGTTGAATAGGCGCTTCTTCTCTACACACACAAAGGAAAAAGGAAGTTGCGTTATGATTTGCATATATTCTTAATAAGCAACAACAAGCGAGTTTCAACACTTAACTTAGACTATGGGATAGCGTCATTATGTGGATCAAGTGAGAACCCTAAATTATGCCAATCCTCCATAATTAGTCAAACCCTACCAATGCGAACGGCCGCCCCGATAACTGAGTAAGTGCACTCGCGGGCATCAAAGCCTTAAGACCTTTAACGTTTAACTCCTATTTCAACTGACAAATTTAACTTCCGACAACAAGACACGCAGAGCAATAGAAGCCACTGATGAAGAAGGCAGGTTGTCGATTAATTGGCTTCCCGAAGGCGCACCTTTACACACACACACATATATATAAGAGCACATCTAATTGCGAAAATCGCCAGATTCTCAAAGTTAGGTCAGTAAGTGAAACTCAACGAGGATTACTAATTTTCCTTTCGAGCATGAAATTCACTGCTCTAACCAAAGAGAGAATAATTAAACAGCAACAACTCTATTTCTACAAATATGCAACTGACTAACAAATTAAGTAAAAGATGGTGGGATTTATTTCCACGAATTATTTGCTGGGAATCAGTAAACAATATGTCTGAGAAAATGAACTCAAGAAAAGGTGATAATAAAAATAGAATAATCATGACGAACCTCAAATACGTTCGTGAGGTTGCAATCAGAATTCATAAAATAACCTTGAAACTATCCATAAGCAAGTGAGAATAAAGAGGGAAGAGAAGAGAACTCACATCGGCGAGCATGATGCGCGTTTTGATGACATCGAGGGGGGTTGTGCAGGCACCGGCAAATGCCCCCGCAAGACCTCCACACAGAGCAAATTGTCCCTTCGAGAGTTCGCCTTCCCCAAGACCACTGTTTCCGCGTTGATTGTAACGCTGCATGGAAAACTGAAACGACACAAAACGAGTATAAGCAGCACATGCTCAGAGACGAAAAGAGTTCAGTGATCCCAACACATGGGAAGGTGCATACCTTGAGCGCTTCCCAAATGGGGTACTGGATGAGGGAGAAAGGGAGTTCACGAAAGATGGTACTGAGATATCCACGATACAATCCTGCAAGACCCTGACAAATTAAAGCTCAATTTGAGGGATTATTACATTCACTATCTCTAAAGGAGTTCTAATAGAAAGTAAATCTTTTCATACACACAAGCCAAATGAGAAGTATTAAGGTACAAAAAAACAAATATAACGGACCTCACTACGAAGAGCATTGGAAAAAATACCAGCAATGCCTAGATGAGGGTGAGCCTGAGCTCGCTGTTTGATTGTTTCACAAGGAACGCGGATAACACAAGCAAAAATTTCACCGACACAAGCTGCTATCATGGGTGGAAACCACGGTGGAATGTTCTCCGAGGAAGTTCGATTCTTTGTCATCTCATAGGCACAGAAAAATAGGGCCGCTGTTGTAAGAAAAACAGGAAAAGTTACTCAAATTTAAATGAAAAATAGAACGTAATAAAACAAACCACTCGGAGCGGAACCGAAAAGTACAGCGGGAAGGCCGGCAAAGAGATGAAATCCACCTGATGGTTTAACAGAATGAACCATACTTTGCAGACGCGTTTTTATGGTATCCAGAGGATAAAGGGCTAAATCTACGCAGAGACCTGCTGTAGCTCCCGAGAGTAAAGGTGTAATCTTCTCGTAGGGAAGCATTTTTTAAGACCGAGAAATTCTGGAAAACAAGATATATAATCCTTGAATAGCAGGAACAATAAATAAAACATGGAGGAAAACGAAACAATATCCACATACGGAGTACCCAGCAGCGGAGGGGGCAATAGTTCAGGCACGTGTTTTTGATAAAGGCGCCAGCTGAATAAACGGTATTAAATAAATGGTAAAAATATCTTTATATTTTTTTGAAATTTTGACATCGATTCTATTTAGCTAAGTTATTACTCGATTATACGTTGTAGATGTGATTAAAATATAAATTCGACTTTATTAATCATTAATTTTGAAGAAAAATCACCCCTACTTTAGGTAATCTTATTTCTAGTTGCGGGGTGTGCGATAGACTTATCTCCACGTGGTGCACCCTGAGCAACGTATACTCGTACAGCAAAACAGTCTATTAACCCTCAGTTGACTTCTGACTTCAAACTACTAACACCCCACTATATGTCATTCGACTACTTCCAGAGTAATCACATCACCTTTTTCTAAATTTGTGCCTGTCCCTTTCACATCTCTGAAACACTCCTATGTCCCCCCCCCCCTCTCGAATTTGTTTCACTTTGATGTTCCTTCCCCTCTGTGAAGCCTGAAGTAAACTAAGGGGCTAATGATAACCATTCAAACGCCTGCTATTTGATATAAATAAATTTCCAATGGTTATGGGAACCCATATCTCAAGTTTTTTAGAAATAAATAATTAATAAGAATTTTTGGTATTAAAAAATTATTTTCTAGTTTGTTTTCTTTTTCTCGTTTTAGCTTTATATTTTCATTCTACCTCTTAATTATGCTTGTAGTCAATTAAGTTCTAGCCGCGTGTATTGAGAGGCTCTTGCAAAAATGTTACCCCTTAGGGCATTTGCTGCAAGTTTCAACTTGAGGAATGCTTTCTTCGCAGCTTCTCGAAGGTACGCTACACTTTCATTTCTTTATTGTGTAGGGCTTTATCAACTCGATGGATGCCTGATAAGGAGTTCGTAGATGCTCAGAAAAGCCTTTACAAAGTTCCAAAAGAAATGATTGATCCTGAATATGTCAAAAGAAGTAATGTTCTTCCTCTATAATCTAATATGTTTAGGAAATATGTTTGATGTGCGCCACTACGAAGTACAATCAATTCAGCTGAATTTCGGTCCGCAGCATCCTGCTGCTCACGGTGTTCTGAGAATGATAATGGAACTTGATGGTGAGGTAGGATAATTGTCAATGTTATTTTCACGTTTTAAAAATAAGATTATTATTAGACTTGACCCACACATTGGATTTCTTCACCGTGGTACTGAAAAACTAATGGAATACAAAACCTATACTCAAAATCTTCCTTATCTCGACCGACTTGACTACTTCAGTATGATGTGCAACGAACAATGCTACTCTTTAGCCGTCGAAAAACTTCTCGGAATTGATATTCCTAAGCGTGCAAAGTATATTCGAAGTGAGTTTTAAGTAATTTCTGCTATTACGCTTATTTATGTCCTTAAGTCATAATCGATGCTTACTCCTAGCAATGTTCGCGGAAATAACCCGTATCTTGAACCACTGCATTGCTTTGGGTGCAAATATTCTCGATATGGGCGCCATCACTCCATTCTTTTGGCTCCTTGAAGAGCGTGAAAAGCTTATGGAAATGTACGAACGAGCGTCAGGAGCTCGTTTTCATGCAGCTTATATTCGTCCAGGAGGCGTGGCGGTCGATATCCCTCTCGGTTTCATGGAAGATCTCTACGAAATCATTGAAAAGTTTCCTCAACGCTTAGATGAATTAGAAGATCTACTTTGTACCAACCCTTTGTGGATTCATCGTACAAAGGACATTGGTGTTGTTAGTGCAGAAGATGCTATTGATCTTGGTTTCTCTGGTGTCATGTTGCGGGGATCCGGTGTCCAATGGGATTTGAGAAAGACTCAACCCTATGATGCTTATGGGGATATGGAATTCGATGTTCCTATTGGTGTAAATGGCGACGTTTACGATCGTTTCATCCTCCGTATCGAGGAGGTTCGCCAGTCTTGCCGAATTATCCTCCAATGTCTTAATAAGATGCCTTCAGGAGAGATTAAGATTGATGATGCAAAGATTTGTCCACCAAGCAGAGCGGAGATGAAGAATTCCATGGAAGCCCTTATTCACCACTTTAAACTTTTTACCGAAGGCTATAGTGTATGTCACAGCATGTTCTAATATTTTCTTAAATTGAAGATTTGGTTCTTATTGATTCTTTGTTAAAGGTCCCTCCAGGAGTAACATACACGGCAATTGAGGCTCCTAAGGGTGAATTCGGCGTTTATATCGTTTCGGATGGAACCAACATCCCCTATCGAATAAAACTTCGTGCTCCAAGCTTCGCGCATCTTGGGGCTTCCAATAAACTCTGCAAGGGATATTTGCTAGCTGATGTTGTCTCTGTTCTTGGTGAGTTCACTGTCCTACTTTTTTCGTTCTAGCAGCAGTCAAAGAATCTCCCCATTTTTGTAACTCCTTGTCTTTAGGTAACCTGGATCTTGTTTTTGGTGAAGTGGATCGATAAAGGCTGATGATTAGGAGAAGACTACTGGTGCAAAATTAAATCTTGATGTTACCAAGGATGTTTAGCGATGTTTGTAATTTACCTAAAATAATACCTAGTAGTATCCTCATACTTCTTGTATCTATTTAATCGGGGTGCGTATCTCTTCTTCAATACATCTTGAATCATGTCTTATTTTTCCGACATGACTCAGTCAATGGCCTTTGTTCTCAGATGTTTGACAGATCGCTGCACTTGGTGACTGACATAATTAAAAGTGAGTACTAACATGGGGGTAGAGGGGTATCGTTTTTACCTAGTTTTAATTGGCTGAAAATTGAATAAGGCGAAGAGTAACGAATTTAGGGTTAACGGTTGGCTAGTTTGGTCAGGATGCCCAATTAAAAGTGAGAAGTGGCTTCTTTGATGTTTCGTCTTCAATTTAGCATTTGTATTCTTGTTTGGAGTGGCGTCTGTGTGATATAGATCCAGCATTTAATCATATGGTTTTAGCAGTTTCTATTCCAGTGTGCACAAATTCTTGTTGCATGCCTTGAATCTTCTGAGGTTATAAGGAAACTAGCAGAGGGTAGTAGTAAGATGGGAGAGGAATAATCCGGTCGGTGAAGTGTCAGTAAAAATTGACAATAAGTTGACAGATTGTGAGGGAGTGGGGGAAGCGACCCTGAAAACGGCGAAGCGATTGTGCAGCTACGAAAGAACAGAGCTGTGCGTTTAAATTCCTATATGTACGTTCAGTTCCTAAATTTGTAGTCTTATTGATCTCAAAAAGCAAATGAAGCATTTTGTTATAGTTCGATTAGTTTTTGTTGGAGAGATAACTTTGAGGTGAAAGCTAGGAACTTCGTGAACAAGCATCTAACCATTGCTGAAGGAGGGATGCGTAGTCAAAGGAGTTCACTCATGGAAACAATTTCCCCAATAAATTATTGAAGCTCTTTCTATGTTATTTAAAAATTCTTCATGTACTTACGATAGCGAAGTGTATATGAAAGCGGTTTCATATAGTTATCATGAGACGTACTTACTCTATGAAATAGCTATAATCACTTAAGCCCATTGAAATATTTGAAGATTTTAAGCATGAAAAAGAATGATTTACTACGAATTTGTTATGAATTTATTCTCCGACTTCGGTTAATATGAGTGATACTCTTCCTCCTCCTCGAAAGAAATACAAATATAACAGACTTATTGAGAAAACCGTAGAAAAAAAATTTGTGCAAACAGCCCAGTGCCTACGTTGAAAAGCATTGAAAATAAGCCTCTATTGATAGAGCAGTGATATTTATCATCAAGTGGTAAAAAACAATAAGCTAAACATAAAATTAATGTGTTCAGTTAAGGCTCTTGATGAGAATATGTAGTTGCGTTGAAATAGGCATTCAAAATTAAATTAATGGTTTTATTAATAGAATGGACCTGTTATTCTGGCAAATATATTTTGCTCTCAAAAAAGAAACAAATGATAACTATATATTCCTTATTTGAAATCACTTAGTTCGAAGATGCCGATTTTCTCAGTTAGTAAAATTTCATAACTATTTAGTCAAAATTACCCAATTATAACTGTTTTTATCAAAAAACTTCTTTAATTACAAATAAATAATCTTCTGTTTCATTAAGTGGAGAAATGGTAACACTTGATGACAAATATTGAATTTGCAACTGTTTCAAACCAGTTGTTTAAACCCTGTGGCGGCGTCCCAGTTTCGCTATTAAGCTAAGACATACGATGCTTCGTTCCGTCATCCCATTCGTTACGAGGGCTGGGAGCTCTTTCATTAAGGTATGATCTTTTCGTTTATTATGCCTTTACTTTATTAGTTTTCTTATCAACTTAAGTTTTTGCTCAGATTTACAATTTGTTGCATTTTATTAGAAGCAGCTCTTGCAGTTTTGTTGAGTTTTGCCTCTGCTTATGACAGCTTAGAAATGTAGTGTTTTGTATTATTAGGCTACTTCCTTGGCCTCTAATGCTGCTCGCCACATTTCAACGACGAATAAATACTATGCTCAATCGCCCGAATTTTCTAGCATCTTAGAAGAGAGAATTCTTGGCCAATCGCAGCAAGTAAATTTGGAAGAGACCGGTCGCGTCTTGAGCATTGGTGATGGTATCGCTCGTGTCTACGGTTTGAATAACATCCAGGCAGAAGAGATGGTGGAATTCTCTTCCGGTTTGAAGGGTATGGCTCTCAACTTGGAACCCGATAACGTTGGTGTTGTCGTTTTCGGTAACGATAAGCTCATTAAAGAAGGCGATATCGTAAAACGAGCTGGAGCTATCGTAGATGTTCCTGTTGGTGAGGAGCTTTTGGGTCGCGTTGTCGATGCTCTTGGTAATCCTATCGATGGTCTTGGTGCCATCGGAGCCAAGAAACGCCAACGGGTTGGTATTAAGGCTCCTGGTATCATTCCACGAACCTCCGTCAAAGAACCCATGCAAACTGGTATGAAGGCCGTTGATAGTTTAGTCCCAATTGGTCGTGGTCAGCGTGAGTTGATCATTGGTGATCGTCAGACTGGTAAAACTGCTATTGCTATCGACACCATCATCAATCAAAAGCGCTTCAATGAGGGGGCTGACGAAAAAAAGAAGCTTTATTGCATCTACGTTGCTATTGGTCAAAAGCGTTCGACAGTCGCTCAACTTGTAAGGCGTCTCACAGTTGCTGACGCCATGAAGTACACTATTGTCGTCTCAGCTACTGCATCTGATGCTGCTCCTTTGCAATATCTTGCACCTTATTCTGGTTGTGCCATGGGAGAGTATTTTCGTGACAATGGAAAGCACGCATTGATTATTTATGACGATCTTTCCAAACAGGCTGTTGCTTATCGTCAAATGTCTCTCCTTCTGCGCCGCCCTCCAGGTCGTGAGGCCTATCCTGGTGATGTCTTTTATCTTCATTCTCGTCTTCTCGAACGTGCTGCTAAAATGAGTGATCAATATGGCGGTGGTTCATTGACTGCTCTCCCTGTTATTGAGACTCAGGCTGGTGATGTGTCTGCCTACATTCCGACTAACGTTATATCTATCACTGATGGTCAAATCTTCCTTGAAAACGAATTGTTCTTCAAGGGTATCCGTCCTGCTATCAACGTCGGTCTCTCTGTTAGCCGTGTCGGTTCTGCTGCCCAAACGAAGGCCATGAAACAGGTCGCCGGTCGCATGAAGTTGGAGCTTGCCCAGTATCGTGAAGTTGCAGCCTTCGCTCAATTCGGTTCAGATCTCGATGCTACTACTCAAGCTCTTCTCAACCGTGGTGTCCGTTTGACTGAACTCTTGAAACAGGGCCAATATGGTATGTTGTGATTTAGGCCCCTTTTTAACCTTGACTATCTTCTAGTCCCAATGGCAATTGAGGAACAAGTTGTGGTTATCTATGCCGGTGTTCGTGGTCATCTAGATAAGATGGATCCATCAAAGATTACCAAATTCGAACAAGATTTCTTGAAATATTTCCAGGCCAACCATCAGGATATCTTGAAGACCATCCGAGAGGTTGGTGAAATATCTCCCGAGTTGGATGAGAAACTGAAGACCATTGTTACTGACTTCTTGGCTAGCTATCAATCATAAAATTATACCAAGAAAAAAACTTCTCCGTAGTATAGGTTTTTACGAATCCCTCTTCCAACTTAGCTGCAATTTGTGAAATATAATACTTCTGTATTTATTTTTTCATTATCGTTGTAAATTACAATGTGTAGACAAGTGGTAAAATCGGTAGTAAGTTATTTTTATGCTTCGCTTTGTGATTGTGCTTGCTGTCGACAAAGTGCCTTATGTGTGCCCCTAAGTAATCTGCACTTCTTTTGTGGCGCTAATGCAGTTTAACTTGTTTGGTTATTTGAGCAGATTTTGTTGCGTTTTAGAAAGTTGTTTGGGAACCTCATCTGTCTTTTTTCCGTGAAAAGCAGAGAATTTGTGCATTTTCGCTTTTAAATTTCTATCTAGAGAAAGATAAGAAAATTGTTTGATTCGTGAGTGTTGGGTTGCTCTTGAATGTAGCTTATAAATCCTACTGATGTTTTATGAGTAGAATGGGTGTTGCCAATTTGAATTGTCATTAGTTCTTGAATAGCCTTATGGAGAAAGTCGATATCAACCACGAGGCAAATCGACAGGTAGAATTCCCTCCATGCCGGAATTCTAGTATTGTGAATTCTTTTGCTGGTATTTTCTCATTGAAATTGAATCAGAGTGTAGTTCGTTTGTGTTTATGAATACGTTTTGGGGGCAATTTAAAATACCCGAGAATGCTTCACTTTTTATGGGTAGTCACATTTTAAGTTCTCTTGAGTTGCACTTTAGAGCTCTCAAGATCATTTAAAGAATTGAACCTCCGCGAAGAGAAAACGAGGACCTTTATTCCTCTCGCCGGTTTTGCAATTTGTGGCATTATTTCTTACCCTTCTGATGAGACTCTTAACCTCTTCGCAAACCAGTCAATTTACTAAATTTATTTCTTTTGTATAGTGAAGAACTTATAGCTCCTGACTATTCACCAATTCTCTATCCTATTAGTATTCTGAGAAACCTCCATTAAGTGTGACGACCGTTTGCATTATTTTTAATATTAATGTACTTCAATAACGTTCTAACAGCAAATTGGTTCCACTTTAACCAGCACTTGAACCAATAGTTGATCATTTACTGTTCAATTTACCACTCAAATAGTCTAGATAGTTAAATATGCTGAGTTGGCCACGGTTATCAACTCGCAGTTATGAATTAAAACGAATTAAGCTGCGGTTCCCTCCTTAGTTTCTTTTCAATTCTACTTAAATGCAATTGTTTTTGGTATATTATTGAGGTCCCAAGGGTAGTTGAGTTAGTTCTCTAACTTAAATTGCACTGACTAATGTTGAACCCGTGGTCTCTTAACTGGCAGACTTACATGTTGCAGATGATAAACCACCCTTTGTATAAGAATTTCAGTGGTTTAAACGCAATTTGGCAAGCAGCCACTCCAACCGAGTGCTTTCTAACATTGGAAACGCACTTTTCAGGAAACTCACATCACATACCTATAGTATAGTATGGGCACTAATAAGAAGAAATCACACAATGTTTGAGTTCATCTTGGGTCCAGTCCCAGTGCAGAAGACATTTCTGCAAGTTTTCTCCCTTGTAGACAAAGTGCTCAACGTTGTTCATATGAGCACCAAATTGCATTCTATTGTTAAGCACAAAAACGCCCAACCCCAAAGCAAACAGAGGTTGCGAGGGGCGTTGCATACTACTTTCTATTCGTCATGCCCCGAACGCCAACGAGGCTGCTGAAGTCATTGCTGACATTCATGATCAAGTTCTCACAGCCCACTGATGTCCACTCTGGCTTAAACGATTGAACCTGGGCATTCGCAATTCAAATGAAGAAGTACCAACTTCAACACGACCTGAGCATTTTGATGGAGATGCATCAAAATGCATTGCTAAATCTGATTCGGCGTTAACTATGGAAGAATTATCGTCTTAGTTTGCCCACTCATGGTCAAGCGGCAATAACAATTGAAATAAATTAATGAATTTGGATGCTGAAGCATTCATTCTCCCAGTCTAGCACAGAAGAGTGCAAAAACCAGCGTATTCCTTCGCAGTTAAGAAAAAGAATTGGCCCCTTTATGGCAATTTGTTATCGGCAACACGAACTGGGTCTTTTACAACGTTCCAAGTCAAGCAACAATTAGAAAGAGAAGGCCAAAACTGAACAGTCAAACTTTTAAGTTAATTTAACAGAATAAAGTGGATAAATCCTCAACTTGCCAACGTCTGGCCCCAAACCCCACCCCATGCGAAGCAAGAATGACCTGCCTACCAGACCTCTCTCCATCCAATTATCACCTTTTCAGGTCCATGGAGCGAGTGAAGTGGAGAGAGCCACTTGAATTAGTATTTTAATTCAAATTCTTTTTATTTTTTAAAAAGTGCATCGAAAACTACGAGGACAGTGGTGAAGAGTTGTAAGGGTTGTTGAAAATTGCATAGTACATGGTATCATGTGCATAATTAAAAATAAATAACCTTTCAATATAGTATTTAAAATGTACGATATCTAATTAACACCCCTAATACACTTATATATATGAAATAACTGCACAAATATTCAGAATGGATGTGGAGAAAAGCGGTCACACATTCTATACACATGGAGGACTACAATCAAAATCACACAAGGGAGGGACTGAGGTGTAAAGGGATGTCTAGGGCTTCGGTTTTGTACTCCTGCTCTCTATAGTTGTCTCCCAGAAGGCCTTTGTAATATCGTAGAGACCGAGGAATATTCCTCCACCCAAGGACATTAGGCCAATTCGAGGAAGAATTCCAGCGAAACACCTACAATGGAAATGATCAATTCACGCAATTGACAGTTTTGTGGAGAGTACATCAATCGCACATACACACACACACAAATAAGGAATAATAATTTACCCCAAGACACCTGACTCTTTATAGACCAACTTCAAGGCGGTGGAGATGCGGCCTGATGCAAGAGCGCTGTCTTGCTAAAAAAGGACAAATTGGATCCTGTCAAAGCACAATTTAATTGAGAGGGCAAAAGCGTGCCATCACTTCTCCACCTCCTCCTCCTCCAAATGGGCATGTAGTAAAAAATGAGAGCACCAATCCCATTTGGACTACATACTCACGATTTATAGGTTATAGGCATTATAGTGAAAAGATACAAGGTCTACTTATTGGAAAACTCTGAACCAAGCGTGGAAGGTGGAGGAGGATAAAGAACAAGTAGTCCACAAATCCAGATCGTCGAGAGTTAGCCACTTTCTCATAAGGAACATGGTTCGTTGAGGAGTACTCAATTCACAGACAAATCAAGTAAACGAGGAAAGTCCTTTAAAATTGTTGTCGCCATCCATGAGCTGAGCTTTTGGGTTGTTTAAGATCGTGCGATTACAGAACAGTCCTTTAAAGGTCTCATTGCCTATATCAGCGCACAAACCTAAGGTCCAAGTTTCATTAACTGACTGACTTCCCAATAATTCACGATGACATTCAGAGCTCGATGGTCGACCAAGCCACTTCGTCGTGATAGTAAACTAGTGGATGGCTGAGACTTGCAGTGCCCGATGGAGCTACAGGACCATCTCGAATGTGAAAGAAAAGCAGAAAAGCAGTTCCAAGCATCTACATCCTTGAGAAGCTAATGCTCCCAATTCCTTTTCGACAGTTTTAAATTTAATAATTTTTGGTCTTTTTATTTGACAAAGGCCGCTGTTTTCTTCCAAGCTTCGAGAAAGACCATACGCTTTGAAAGGAGCATTTCTAAGCCCAAACTTGATCAAGCTCTTTTATAAGCTACACTTCCGTTTTCGATAGAAAGCATCCTTTTACCAACAAGGAGAGAGAGAGAGCATAAATTGTGATAGTAGAAGGTACCAACCTCCGCGAGCATGATTCGAGTTTTTGCTACATCGAGGGGAGTAGTCACTGTGCCGGCGATAGCTCCCGAGAGAAATCCACACAATGCGAATTGAAAGACCGTCAAGTTGGCAGTGGAAGGAGGAGGAAGGTTTTGGTGCTCAGTATTGCCTTGCGAATGGTGTTGTTCAAGGAGTCGACGATGATTTCGACGCGCGAAGAAGGTCTTTAAGGCCTCCCAAATTGGGAATTGGATCAGGGCACAGGGAAGATCACGAACTATCGTGCTGACATAACCCCGATAGAGGCCGAGGAAACCCTACAGAGAATCATATTTGTAAAAGCAAGGCTGGTATAGAAATAGGAACCCAATAACTGGCAAGATATCTATGGGCAAATTGTTCCGAGTTAGGAGAAAATATACACACAGGTGGTAGATGACAGCACCTACCTCGTGTTGAACATAGCCTCGAAAAATGGATCGAAGGGAATCGAATGGACGACTTTGAGCCGACTGCTTGACGTTCTCACAGGGAACCCACAACACCATTGAAGTCTACAAAAGAGAAGAAATGGAGAATTTGAGGGGGTGGGGTGGGGTGGGGGCGGCAGCAACTATAGTGGAAGCGACCAAGTGGCCGGCACATTTCTGCCTTATAAAATCCACCATTTTCGAGAGCGCACCTTGGTTTATGGGCTTTACGTTCCAAATTTGCAGACACATGCATAGTCAACTGTAGAATTTTGACATCCCATTTAAATTTGAAATAAGCGCGCATACCGGTGGTACATCATTGCTTTTCACATGAAGTAGTTACCCCCTTTAACGCCCCCCTCCCCCCCCCCCCCCCCCCCACCGCAGGACCGTGCGGTCCTCTTTCAAAACAAGCTCCACTGGGGTGCCAGTCTCTTAAGAGAAGGCGCGCTATTGCTATTTGAAACATCTTCAATAGGTCCATAACCCTCGAATGATGTCACCCAAACTCACCGTGTCAGCACTTCATCGGGTTTAAATTTAGAGTGAAACGAGGCTGACAATTCGACGACATCGGGTGGCTGGATGTTGAACCAGTCCAGGTTCAACGGGTAGTACTTTATTATTGGGGGGGGGGGGGGGGGGGGAGGGGGACATGGAAGCACCAGCAAACTACAAACTTGACCCACAATAAAGCAACGAATTGTTGAATTATTATCGGATCAAGAACACAGATGGTTGGAAGAATAAGGGAAAGTGCGTTTAAAGAGCAGCTTACGATATCAGCGGCGGCAGTTCCAAGCATTGAGGAGGCCCACATCGGTAGACCGTTTTTCTGAGAAAGCTCCTTCGCCACCTCGTAGAAGTAGAAGAATACGGCAGCTTAAGTAGACAGAAACAAGGAATGAATTACACCAAAGCTGTAATACCATCGAAGAGCTTCAACATAGACTACTAACAAGCAGGTGCTGATCCGAGGAGAACCATAGGAAGGCCTGCAAAGAGCTTTAGCCTGCCACAAGATGTGAATATATTTCCAGAAGCCGATTGCAAACGTGTCTTCAGTGTGTCGATGGGGTAGAGAACAACATCCACACAGAGACCTGCTGTAGCTCCAGCATACACCTGTGATTCCCTCTCCCGATTCCAAAGACTAATGCTACCGGTCGCCTACACAGTGCAGCAAAGATGTAGATGTGTTACTAGCCAAGATATCGACCACGGTGGAATAAAATTCGAGTGAAAACTCTACTCTACTAGTTAAGTCGAAATCCATAGCAGAACACTTAAAGATGACAAGCAGAGAAATAGAAAGGCACTAGCGGTTTATTTGGCAACTATTTTGGGCAAAATACAGGTGGCAGTTTGTAGAAATTGTATAAAAACGAGAGTGGTGGGAAAGCAGCTATACAGTGGGAAATGAAAGGACCGAGGACACTTCGAAGAACCCTAAGGACCTGTTCGCTCTCGATGATGAAGACCATCGAGCCACATGTGCTTTGTGATGTCGTAGAGACCGAGGAAAATGGCTCCACCGAAAGACATTATGAAGACACGAGGAAGCAGTCCCGCGAAGAGGCTTCAGAACAAAAGGGCACAAAAAAGGCTTTCCTTTTTCATTTATTTAAGCAAACAATCATGCAACTACAAAGACGGTATATGTATGGTTCGGAATAAAATTGGCATTCTCATGAGGAAAAAGAAAATCAATTGCTGATAACAGCAGCACTGAATTAAATAGACAAAGAAATTACATGCTACGGAAGGGCTTCTGCTCAATGTACCTACATCAGCGTCTATTACGGCTTCAACTCGTCCATGGTCCACAACCCCCCCCCCCCTACTCTTACTCCAAAACCTCTACTAGCAGGCTGATTTTATCCATACTCTGGGAAGGATCTCAAAAACTGGCTTCATTCTGCCCTTTATTTACTGTCCAGGGCTTAACTAACACAGCGGTCAGCAATGCCACTCTTTCAAAAACGCAGAAGGAAGTATCAGAGATCATCCACACATTCTAAAACCCCGACAATTTGAAGAAATTGAGGCTATGTGACTCGAAAAGTGTCCTTTGGACTCTATGCAAGCCAAGGCATATTGTAATTTGCACTTTGACAAGAGAAGTTCGCATCAGAAAGGAACCTGCGAATGTGCTCAGGTAGGATGTTTCCCATTGTTCGGAAATTTCGGTGCCTTTGGGAGCCAACGAGATTCGAGGGTCATTTGTGTGAAAAATTGACCTCTGGGAGTGAAGGCCTTCATTGCGTGCAAGCCTCATGGAAACAAGCAATAAGCCGTGGCGACAAAGCCCTAACTCTATGCAACCAGGTTAGGGGCCACCTGGTATGGTGCATTATTCTGTCTATACTAGATCAATTGTCTTCACAACTTTAAGGTAATCATTAGGCAGTGACCACAATCTCCGTATTTTGACAGGCGGGATAAAAATAAGAGCGAGATACTTCGGATGGGCTCTAGCCAACATTCACTCGCGTTGGCACCACGTGCAGAAAAAGGAAGCAGTGTGTGCATTAAGGCCAGTAGAAGAAGATGGCCAAGCGCTATTTTGTAAAATCCAATCCGAATACGCGGTATAAACTTCTAGTTAATCTCAAAACGACACTCCTATAGCCATGTCCTGCTCTGAGATGACACAATTTCAACAAATTGAGGAGAGTAAAAGGAGAGGGAAAAGGACGACTAGGTCGAAACGGGACAGAGGGAAGTGAAAATAGAAATCCTAAAGCTCTGCTTTTAAAAGTAAATAGAACTCTTAATACATTTAAGTCCTTGGAAAGGAAAAATATTTTCCATTAAAATTGCCTGATTTAATACGTTGTTATAAAGTTAATTTATTTCAAATGGTAGGCGTTTGGATAGTCATAATTAGCTCTTTAGCTGACTTCGGGCATCACAGAGGGGAAGGAACATCAAAGTGACAGAAAGTCGAGAAGGGGGGGGGGAAGTAGAAGAGTGATTCACAGATGTAAAAGAGACAGAGAGACACAAAGGCAGAGAAAAAAGGTAAGATGAGTACTGTGAGAGTGGTCGAATATGACATGCAGTGGGGTCATGGTAGTTTGAAGTCAGAAGTGAACTGTCGGTTTATAGACTTTTTTGCCGTATGAGTATACGTTGCCCAGGATACACCACGCGGAGGTAAATCTATCGCACACATCGTTGTTATAAAATAACTTCTAGCAGAAACGTTGGGCCAGACTTTCAAATTCCAATAATTCCAGCAATCATTCGGCTTTATTTTCTACTTTATTCTACCATCCACCTCCCCCCCCCCCCCCCCCCCCCCCCCACCCCCACCCCTAACGACTACTCGGGTGTTCTTGGTTTCCACATACTTTCAAATTGTAGAGGTTAATGCAAAGGAACATACCCTGAGACGCCACCTTCCCGATAGATGGTCTTTAGAGAAATAAGCACATTCCCTGATGCAAGAGGAGTTCCTTTCTGAAAAAAAAAGAATAAAAAATCAGATACTACTGTTAGTTGCGTTATAATTTAAAGAAGGCCAGCTGGGGAAAATATAATTGAACTACAACATTACGACAATCGCATTCGCCAGAAACAGCAAAGTCAAACAGCACACACACATGACTTCCATCACATCCGCCGCATATTCGCGGCACAACGTCTGCTCATCACAAGTTAGACCTCCACGAACTTTTATCCTAGAAAATATCTCGACAAAGTTGCCAATAGCCACAAAGTGTTGTTTGCGTTTAGAAAGATGGTGTGGATCAGGTGAGGAAAAATAAATTGCCTCTAGATATGGCTGTATGTAAATATGATCAATAACACCGAAGCCTATGAATCAATTTTACCAAGAAGTGATAGCGAAAATAAGTCCGAATGACTCTATGATGAAAAAAAACTCGTAAAGAAGTGCAAAGATCGCGCAATTTGTAAAAAAAGATTGAGAGAATAGAATGAGTGAAGGTGCGCATTTTGAATCTTCAACATGAAATTTCAGCTAACAACTTCGCAATAGTCAGAGGAATGGGAGAAGAGAGGGGAGTAGAGATAGAATCCCAGGGAATTACATAACACGATGACGCCAGAAAGTCTGTGCAAAGTAGAAACAAAGAGACATACGCACACAAATACCAAGGGCAGCATCTTGCCTATGCTAATAATTAATGAGGGACAAATGTAATGAGAGGACGTGAAATACTACTCAGGTTTATAAACCTTGAATTGGGAGGATATGAGCTCGAAAAACGAAATAAGCTACTGAATTTTTTAACAATAGGGCATGACGCAGTGAGCTATGCAAAATGTGTAAAAGTAGGCGATTCCAGAAATAAGATGAAGTGGAACTTGATTTTGCTTCTAACTTTATGTAAAGAGACAATGAGCACACTTACCAATGAAGTTAGAGATCAGATGATGAAAGTTCAACATCACGAAGCATCCTTTTTGAAAACATGGAATTCACAGCTTATTAGGCTTCTCCCTTATGTCATAATATTCCTCTCATACTATCATTTTCTCAATATTTACAACATTGCTTATATCCCATGAATATGAGCTTTCTAATTCACCAATAAGGTTACAAAAAGTGAGTTTCACAGGATTGAAAACTAGCATCGCGCGCATCATATCTTCAACTCAGGTAAATTGGGGGGTGGGAGGTGCTTTCAGAAGGAAGGACAAAGGCCAAAATCATCTCCTAGGGATAATACCTTAGAGGCGACAAATCGGTATTTGAACTTAGAATCAGATCTTACCTTGGCAAGCATAATACGAGTTTTTGCGACATCCATAGGCGTGGTAAAGAAGCCACCAATGGCGCCTGCAACAGCTCCACAAATGGCAAATTGCGCCTTGGAGAGACTAGACCCAACTCGTTCCTCATTGCCAGGTGGATTCAAAGCGACAAAGGAATCCTTCTGATGATGCTCTCGATTATATTGTTCCATTGTCCGCTATAAGTAAGGGGAAAGAAAGCGACTCTAACATCATTCCTTAGAAGAATGAATTAAGCCAAGGCTTGCATTAAGATCAAAATTCAAATGAACTATCTCGGCAATGCAACTGGGGCAGATCAAAACGATAAGTTGGACGACTAGAGCTAAAAGTGTATATTGTCAATGAATGAAAGCTAACTTTTTGAATGCTTCCAATTCGGATAAATGAAAAAAATAGGATTGGAAGAATACGTCTTCTAAAACCCGTTATTTAATGAGCACTGCATGAAAACGGATACTTTCTTTATTAAAATTTTAATATAAGCATTCAAATACAAACAAAATCAAATTTCACACACAACCACCGATTAAAAGATTTAGTCTCTCATACCCTCTATAAATAAGTGTAGCCTAAAGATAGTTTCAAGTGAAAGATATTCGATATAGATGGCGGAGAACAAACTAACGATTTCAAAATCAAAGGAAAATAAAAAAGATAAAGCAAAGTGAGTATAAAAGTATTAAATTTTGATGGCAAAACATCTTAAATAAATATGAGGAATTAGTTACTTTAAGTAACTCCCAGACTGGATACTGAATGAGACAGAAAGGAAGACCCCGAGAAAGTTGACTCCAATAACCACGATAGAGACCACGCCATCCCTAAAAATGGATAAATTATGAAAATAAAACATTGGCACTTGCATCCTCCTGTATGCTTTCCCGAAAGACGATCCTGACATTCAAATGAGGCTGAGTTTGCGTTCGTTGCTTGATTGTCTCAACAGGAACTCGAATAAAGTAGGCAGCCAAGATGAAAAATAAGCCAACATCATGCCAGTTAGTATGGAAAATTGATGCACATAGGGAAATCCCGAGTTTACACAATCAACATACCATATCTCCGGCACAAGCGGAAAGCATCGAAGCCATCCCTAATGGAGCACCAGCATTCATACTCGCTTTCTTAGCGGTCTCATAGGTAACGAAAAACAAGGCAGCTGAAAGTGAAATATTTGCAAAATATGTTTGTGAACAAAAATAAGCTCCGAATAGAAATCACCGACTGACCTCCAGGAGCAGAACCAAGAATAACAGCTGGGAGACCAGCGAAAAGACCAAGCCTTCCGGCTGTCCGAGGTTTTACCACATGAGAAGCACTTTGAAGACGAGTTTTGATAGTGTCCAAGGGATAAACACTTAAATCAACACAAAATCCAGCAGTCGCTCCTCCCACTAATGATGCTAGTCGCTCATGATCTGACAAGGAGGTTGGATTCATTTATTTTCTGCTATAAAATGTTAGACTGTCGACTTAAATAGAACATTCTGATACTTTTAGCTTAGCTTAAAAAGTAAAAAATGCGTGACAGACAACGAAAAGTTAACTCACGTACAAGGTCAAAATGCTTAGGTCACTCTAGGAATTACGTGATTGGTAAAAATAAATGGAATTTGGATTGAGCATTTAATAATAAATTTTAAATCAAGTTGAAAGTAGGCAATTAGTACCTCTAAATTTTCAATTTGAATATGTATACTTTTGCGACTTAATTCATTATAAGCTTAATCATAGTTTTTATAATGCTTTGTAGCGGATTAGCTACCTCAATAACATTAATAGCTAGATATCTCTGAGTAGTGTTCTGTAGCAGGATTTCTATTGGTGTGATGAAGTTTCCCACAGCTTATAATTCCTACCAACACGATTTCCATGGAATGAATTTATAGCTAATAAAGCTGATTTTGTTGCCTTGTTGACTGTCACCTTAAAATATTAAATAACTTGACATTCAGATTTTAAGATGATGGTAAAATTGCTCTTACTTTATCAATAGCAGTATCTTCTTTCGGTGAGCATAGATTAAATCTATGTTTCCCCGTCCTCACAAGTTTCAAGATGTGACACTTTTGAGAGCTGGCATTTTTTTATTCTCACGTTGTAATCTCGTGCACAAACGTGATTACTAAATGTGACCAAAAGCATATTTAAAAAGATGCCTAAATTAAGGGGATGTTGTCTCTTTCCTATTAATAATATCATCGACTAATTATTGGTGACGTTTCTTTAATATGCCTACTTGTCCCAAATTTATTAAGATATCTTATGCCAAAATTTATCTCGTGATTGAACATATCAAGTTGTTCTTAGCTACATTTGTAAATATTAATTTAAAAGGTATTAGTGGCATTTTTGCCTCTAATCTGTTTTTGAAGCACATTTAGGATGTTTTGGTATTTGTAAAGCCTGTGTGTTATTATCTAAACATTGAATCGTTTCTTATTAATATTGTTAGCAATTATAATTATTAGCAATTATTTTAGCTCCCGACAACATAGCGAACCCTAACCTGCGAAGTTAGGCTAGCTAAATGAGGACGAGGACCAATAAGGGCGTTGTGCCATTTGCTTCATTCGATCACCAGCTACTAGCAAATAAGAAGGAATAATGTCAACAAAGCTCGCCGACTTCCCTATACATTCCTCTCTCTCTCTCCCTCTCTCTCTCCCTCTCTCTCTCTCTCCTATTTACAAACTAAGCTATTTATTTACAATTCAAAATAGTGATTGAAGATGACTGACTGACAGTAAGATCTCGATGGAAATATCAAAGTATTGTATTAAAGATATAAAGGCATATTATAAAAGATTTATTTATTTCAAATGGCAGGCTTTATGATATTTATCATTAGCCCTTAATCTTTGACTTCAGCTTCCCCCAAGAGGGGGGGGGGTACATTTATAGCAGTTAATTAATAGCAGTTCATTAGCAGTCTTCTTGCTTCCCAGTATCTCTGGGTTTCCGTCCTTGTCTTTAGGGCTGGACACTGAATCAGGTGGGTCTTCTCCATTTCCTCATGTAGGTTACATAGAGGGCATGTGGGTTGAGTGTATACTCCCAATCTGTGAAGGTGTTTTGCCAAGCAATCGTGTCCGGTACGTAGTCTAAACTCAGCAACGGCTTCGATTCTTGGCCAGTCGGGTATGTCGAAGAGTGCCACTGTCCACTGTTTCTCCTTTGTTCGAGCTTTGAGTTCGTTGAACTTTGAGGTCTGGAATTCTCTCCTGATTAAGGCCTTCATTGTGTGGAAAGACATCGGCCGGTCCATGCATTGCAAAATCGTTGTCCCCTTCTTAGCAAGTGCGTCAGCAATCTCATTGCCTTTAATGCCACAGTGACCAGGAATCCATTGTAGGACCAATGTTTTGTTTTTCTCTCTCAGCAGCTCATAGAGTTTTCTGCATTCCTTTATCTCAGCTGTTTGGGGTGTCTCTCTGTTTCCAATAGAGTCTATTGCTGACTGTGAGTCCGAAAGGATCACCGCTTTGGTAAATTTCGTATCCAGGTAACATAATTGGCATAGT